TACCCGTTGATCTACCCATTGCACCATTCTAAATCAACATAATCGATATCAATCAATATGAAATGTGTTCGGGTTAGAACGAAGTTCCAGTGAATAATACTCACGTGTCTGACGCTTTCAAAGCCTTCAACCATGGTTTCGTCTTCAAAGAAAATTTGAGACGATCAATCAGGTTACGGTAGCCTTGAGCGGTGGCTTTACGTAGTCGTCGATCAACCTTGAAATATTGAAAAGTTGGTTGATTGGAAAAAATCATACTGTGATCATGGGCGTGGAATAAGCCATGCATCTGAGCCCTACTGTAAATTGTAGATCTGGTTGACAACATACATATTGAAAACATTACAGGGAAGTCAAGGCCTCTTCTAAAAAACTTAGCAGCATTTTAATTGAACAAAAATGGAGTGCTAAGGCCGGATTCAATCATGCGAAAGGTGGCGGTGAGAACTACCACTGAACTTTCGCCCAAGCATTACTGAAAGCTGCAAAACCAGGAGTAATCACCACGCCTGGTGAAAATTTTGGACATCAGAGGTGAGGGTAAACAGAGTTCTGTCGGCAGAAGTGAAGTGCCTTCAATCTACTGATCAATTCGAAATAGCCGGATTCATAAATAAGACCAGAAAGTCCCAACTGGTTGGCAAAGTAGGCGCTGTCAGTGCCTTCATGTTGTTGTGTGGCTTTAGTTTATTTTTTGTTTACTGTTTGTTTATTGCTCAATTGATTTTCTGCCTTGAATTCAGAGCAAAAAATGTTTCAAATCGATTGTCGAGCAAAAAAGGCTAGTCTAACAAAAAGCGCTCGGTTTCTACTAAATTGAAAATTGATCCTTTTGGCAGGAAATTAAAAACTGAGATTTCGAAGTGGGCGTTATACAATTTGGTAAACTATTCAACCTAAAGTTAGTAGTTGTAATACCTAGCGGTCAAAACTGCTCGCTGAAGCAATTTATGTGCACTATTTTTTTCATTTGAATAATTTGCCCTTCCCAAGAAAAAAGTAGAACACGAAAAGGTTTTAGTGAAATGTTTCGAGTGCTGCTCTGTCTTTGACAAACAGTCTAGGGTGTTGATAAGTGGGATAAAAAAAGGTACAACATGTTCGTCGCCGATCTATCCATTTTGGGATGCGCCACGTACCTTACTCTCATTTGGAAGTGTAGTAACCCTTGAATGCACTTTGCCTATATAAATTCCAGCAACGTACTTGCCTACGTACGAGTCAATGTTCTTCTCTTCCTACTAGATGACTCTTCTAGGAAATAACTAATTCCAAAAGATAGAAAGATTGGCTATCCCGAATTGCATACGAACCCGGATTTGATCCATAGACTATACGAAGGTATCTTGGTGCGTCAGCAGCAAACCAGTCTCTGCTGCCAATTCTTATGAAAACCATGCAAACGGAAGGAGATATATATGAAAACAGACCTTTTGGACGTGTTGCTCAAGGAAATCAGGATGACTCGGTCGACGAAGTCGCCAGAACGCTCTCTCCTCGGAATCGTAGACTACCTGGAACTCGATTTTTCAATTAGACGATTCATTTGGACAGCTAATATAGATATCGTTTTTAAATGCCTATTCAGCTGATGATTAAGGTAAAGATCAGAGATTAAGCACGCAAACTATGAACGGGAGGCAAAAGGACGTACATTCTCGAACTTCCCACGAAATTGCCATTTGAAGCTAGCAGATATGAGATGCTAATTAGAAGAGGGGTTATGCGCACCCGCAGTTCCAGATTTGGAGACAATGCCAAATCGTTTCGGCAGGAATTCAGTGCCTTTAAAGTGATATTCGACCGCGGAGTGAAAAGTTGAGTTCCACAAAATGTAAAGTTTTCTTCAATGGGAAGATCGAGTTAAAAGTTTTCTGTTCAATGGAAATCACTATCAGTTGTTTATACTATATATTTACCAAAAAATCAGGCTATGCACTGATGAGACCGCGGTGACTTTGCCAGATTTACTTGGAGGCCGCCGTCAGTGTTGTGGTGTATGGTCTGACACCAGAGCGTACTTCTCGTTTTTTTAAGGTACGAACCAACATGTGCGAGTCCAGACAGAAAAGCACATTCTTAGGGACTAAGCCTTTCGAAGGAGGGAAAGAAAGCAGAGATGCTGTAATAGTGTGCATGTGCGAGAGTCCCAGAGAACACTACAAAACACTGAATCACCAAGCCTTCCGGTTGACCATTTCCCTTAAACGGTTTTTGAAAGGAGGACCATGCTTGGAAAAGAATGCACGGCACTATCGCCCGAGACAGAGATCAAGTGGACCCGGCTAGTCAGAATAAAGACCAAAAGCGTGGCGCCTTTCAGAAGGAGCAGTCAAAAACGAGCCATAAATCTAAGCTTTGGGGTTACGAAGAGCAACTATGTTGATTTTTTTTCAATGTGGTTTCAAAAATTGCTAATTTCTAAGGCCCGTAAAAGCCTGAAATGGGAATCCCTTTGAATCGTTTCAATTGTTGGAACATTGAGAACCAATAGATCGATTTATCTTATGAATATCTGTAAAGGGTCTATAGTTGCTGAATAAAAGTAAAATAAGACCAGTCCAGTTATTTGTCAAATTTCATAGTGAATCACTGAATTGAGTTTGACCGGCACGACAACATTCACCAGCTCAAACTTTGCAGATTGATATAGTTGTTTCAATATTTCATATCATTCTGGCATAGTTAAAAAGTCACTGTTGAACGGAGGATCCCCGTCTTAATGGAATTTCATCTTGTCTTATGCAAAAAAGAAAACGCGCCTCTAGCCACTGTACTACCTTCGATTTGCACGAGAAATGAGTTCAAATAGCGTCTGACAAAAACTGCAGGTGTATTTGTCTACAAAAAAATGAAGAAAGCTGGCTGTATGTCCAATAATTACATGCAAGGAACTACCGTGAGCGGGTAATTACTCGAAGGTACACCGTTTGACGTAACAGATGAAGGAGGTTGGGGAAGAATGGTTAAAAAAGAAGGTTAAAGGAGATTATATTTGACAGCAG